GAGGACAGGGTATTGTAATAGTATACTAGAGACATCAACAAAGTATATTAGAGGAAAGCACGAAATGATTCTAGCATTTGAGAATAAGGAGGACTGTATGGAGGAGATGGTATTTCCATGGGATTTTGAAAGAGAAGTAGGATCTCACCAGGTGAAGTAAAGGCAAAACATTCCAGGAGAGGAAAATGTAATTAACCAAGACTGGATGCAGTGATGAGGGAGCAGTAATGTGGTGTAATGATGGGTGTAGTGATGGGAGTGCAATGATGATGGTGTAGTGATGAGGTGTGGTGATGGAGTTGTAGTGATGGGGGCGTAGTTATGGGATAGGATGATAGTGGGCAGTGATGGGGGGTGCAATGATAGTGGTGCAGTGATGGCAGTATAGAGGTAGGGGTGTAGTGATGGGGTGAGTGATGAGAGTGATGAGGATGCAGTAAGGCATCCATCTGGAATGGCAGATGGAAAAAGATTTGGACATCCTGTTAAACTGTTTGGATGTAACATGAATGTGAGGTGGGTTTGAAGAAAGGTTATGAGAAGGGAGTTCTAAGGGTCCAGCTCTGGGTCCATGTGGGGCAAGAAGGGCATTGCCCAGTGACCCAATTCCTTCTCCAGTGCATCCTCCTTTTGTTTTGTCCACCTGCAGGCCAGTCTCCACCTTGAGGCCACTGTCGTTGCTCTGATGCCTTCAGGGTTCCTTTAGCCTTCCCTTATGAGAACCGGGAAGTGAGCTTTCATCTCCACTGACTATCAGCAGTGGTAGATTAGTGTATGTTTAAGCCAGGCCTCAAACTGAGGTCCTCTCTCATTCTGGTTTCTCCCTCAGGGTGTCAGCAAAGCAATCTGAGGGAACGGAGAGAGTCCATCAAGGTCTATATCTCTCAGGGGCCATCCAGGCCACTGGTCTGTGCTACTGATGGGGACATCAAGGTCCAAGGAGGTGCTGTCAAGTGGTTACTCAGCTTCCTAGAAGATTAAATGATTTTTCATGGCCCAAGAACTGTAGAAGTCAGCCCATCTCCCTGATCTTCCTATTACTCCTCATTTCCCACTCTCTCCTCCCTACCTGGCAAAGCCTGCCACTTGGAGGCAGGGAATCTGGGCTCAAGTCCCAGATGTGCTGTTTCTCAGCCTTGTGATATTTGGCAATTCTTCATACCTTGCAGAGCCTCAGCTTCCTCATCTACAGAATGGAAATAATTGCATTAAATTCGGTAATAGCTGCAAAGCGTTTAGCCAGGGGTCTGATACCTACAAGACATTCCATAAATGAAAGCTGGAATCAATGTTACCTGACATATTCATATTTCCCAGAGTGTAGGCCCTGTACATTAGGGATGCCCGAGATAATCAGAGGTGGTACCTAGACAGAACAGCAAATAGAAGCTATGCAATTGGGAAGCCATGTTCTCCACAGATCTCTTTCAATGTTGATTTTTTTCTCCAAAGATTGGCATGTGTTGCCAATCTTCCCTTTTTTTTCTTCTTCTTCTTCTCCCCAAAGCCCCCCAGTACATAGTTGTATATTCTAGTTGTAGGTCCTTCTGTTGTGATATGTGGGACACTGCCTCAGGATGGCTTGATGAGTGGTGCTGTGTCTGTGCCCAGGATCCAAACTGGCGAACCCCTGGGCTGATGAAGCGGAGTGCGCAAACTTAACCACTTGGCCACAGGGCCAGCCCTCAATATTGATTTTGTAGAAGAGATAGACTCACTTTGGTGGTAGCATGTTTATATATATATATAATACACACACATATATATACACATAAAATATTTGTTAATTTCCCTTTTTATCAAAGAGAGAACACCTTGTCCCCTTGATTAATGGTAGATAATTACATTGAGCTCAGTCTGGTAAACTCAGTCCTATTCAATAATTTGAACAGTCTCTTTAAGTAACATAAGCTTTTTCAAATAAAATAACCTCTCAGATTTGCTTCCCATCCTCCCTGCTCCTCTCCATGATGGTGTCTGTCTACAAGAGTTGGGGGAAGCTTATATGCCCACACTAGTGGAGGGGTAGAGGGATCCTGGATCTACTTGCAAAGGTCCTTATGTTGTTGTGGTCTCCAGAGCAACTTCCTTCTGCACGGGGTTCCTGAGAGGATGATGAATTCTGACATGGCGAGCTTGTGGTCTGTCCTCTTCTCATGGTCAAAGCTCATGGGTCTTCCCCTGCTGATTCGGTGCTCCACCTCAGCCCTGACCAGCTCTCAGCTCCACCCAGGTCAGGTTGTTGTTCCACTTTTTTCTCAAGTCCAGGAGGCACCTCTGTAGGCCCCTTTTCCTCCTCCCCATCCAGTTCCCAGCCAGATTCCCAATCACTTCTGAGTTCCCTTCAAGGTTATGTCTGGGGCCCTTCCAAGGAACAGAGAATCAGAGGGAAGCAGAAATATCAACTGAGATCTCTCTTTGCCCAAACTCCTCTACTTTGTTGTGGCTGCTGCAGGCAGATTCAGAGATGTGGGGTGTGCCGGTGGCAGCCTCCTCCTGGAGAACTGAGGCTGCTGTGAGCTTCCCCCATCTAGCACAACTCCCACTTTGGGATTTAGGTCTAGAAGGGGGACTGATGGTGCCTTGTGCCATCCCCTGCTTTCCCTGCTCTGTTCCTTCTCCTTTCCAAGATCCACAGTGTAGGAAGGCTACATTCTCTACTCTGTTGTGCCTATTTTGGAGTCCTCTTCACCATGCCCTCCTACTTCTCCACAATGGTTGCCAGGGTAAGAGGAATGATTTTGTGTTATAGAAATACACACTGGTTTACTCTTTTCAAAACTCCCCATTGCGTTACATATATAAATATTTCTTTGATAATGAATACCTTTTTAAAAGGTCAATTTAAAGAAAAATATTAAGCAAATTGATAGTCAGGTCAGTAGTGGGAATGGTATAAATTGTGAAGCTAGAGGGTCAATGGCTGAGTTTAGGGAAACACCGGGATACATAGAAGAAGCTGAGATGGACACATAAGTGGGAAAGACCTTCTCAAGGAGGAAGGCAGTCATGGACACAACTAATGTGGAACCAGGAGGGGCTGGAAGAGCAAAGCACTGAGAAGTTCGAGAGAATCTAGGAAAGCTTCTTGGAAGAGGTGGCCGTTGACTGGGCTTTAAAGTGTAAGAAGGTGGAGAAGAAAGTCATCCAGAATGTGACTGTGTGTAGGGGGGAAAGATGCGACAATAAGACAGCACATGTGGAGGCACTTTAAAAACTGTTGCATGAGTAGTGGTACAGAGAATTAATATTATTTCTGATTTCATGGAGGGATTTGTTCAAGGCCATCCTTGATTCTGAGGAAGAATCAAGCTAGAACCCAGGTCTCTGTAAAGCATCTCAAGGCCACAGCAAGAGCATACAGCTGCCTAGGGGCCATAAGAGGAAGGGCCCACTTGGAAAGGCAGGAAAACAAGTTGCCTTCTCCTTGACAGCTTTTTAAAGAACGGTGTTTGGTGGGTCTGAGCAAGCAGGGCTTAGAGTCCAGCCTCGCAAACACCATTGACCACCTACTATATGACCCGGACATGAGCTAAGTGCTTTGATATTCAAAAGGCTGTAAGTCTTTAAACCTACCAACAACAAACATGTCTGTAAACTGGAGTTAAGATGTTTGTCAGCCTAATGTTCTAAATGAGTAAACCCTGCAGAGAAGCTGGAAACATTTTAGAAATTCTCACCCCATCCCCGACTCACCTCCCAGGATTTATGGTTGCCTCATGTCACCCCCATCCAGACGTCTGATAGAGGCAGTCCCTTTCTTCCTTAGCCACCGTCCACAGTTCTCAACCATCGTCATACAGAGAGACTGCTGTCCACAGTTGGTCACTGGGTTTCAGGGACAATCTGAGAGATTTTCAAGCCTTATTGGACCATATGTGATTTTTGCTGAATTAAGAATCAAACCCCCAAATAAGACTCCACTGAAGTCCTCTTTCTATAATTCCTGATGCTGTCAGTGGCGTATGAGAAATGGAGCTGGAGAGAAAAATAGTATTGACTGGGGGACTTCAAAGCTGCAAAGGTTTAAGGAGCACTGGCTCTGAGCAAAGTACATCAGGCATGCCTTTGCTCTGACCTTGAGGAAGGCCTTCCCTGCTTGTTGTGTAGAGTTCTGTATCCAGTAGGCACCTAATACCTGCTTGTGTTTCCCCTATTTCTCAGGAAGTGACTACTCTGGGAAACCTCCTGTGCATTAGGTTGCTGCTTCCCAAAACCACTTTTGATGTTGTTAAGTTCCTGCCTTCACGTCCCCAGGGCGTGAGGCAGAAGGATGCATTTTCAAGTGCCCCAGATAATTCTTGCTCCACCAGCCCAGTCTCAAGTGTTAGGGAAGCCCCATCCTGGGCCCTTTACCCTAAGTGAGGTGCTGCTTCTGGGTCCTGAGCCAGATCATCTGTGACCCACCAGCACTGCAATGAGAACCCAGAATGCTGAAAATAGGCTCTGACAAAATCACGTATAGTAACTTCACGCTTGTCTCCTCATTTCTACACTGGAGGGCCTGGGTCTAGATCAGAATTGTAGAGGCTTCACCCATGACACAGCTCAAGCCAGCAGAAATGCTGCATTGGGGTCACACCGTGATTTTTAAAAATTGAAGCCACGTCTAAAACTCGAGAGAGAGTGCAGACTTCTGGTTTGGTGTACCTACGTTGTCACAAGCCAAATGTTTACTGGAGTTGAAAAGTAATTGGCCCTTTATACAGAGCATGTGCTGTCTAGTTTTCCTCAGTCCCCATCACTCCCTATTGTTGCTCCTGATTAGCTTCATTCACAGTTATTTGCTGCCTCTCCACCCCTGCATGAATCTGAATTGAGGTCTCTGACATACCTGATCCCAAACGTTCTTTTTACTTCTACCATCCTATGAGCCCAAAGCCTAACAAATTATCCTTCTCCAGCTCAAGAGTTAATCATCAGCTTCTTCTTATGTAAATCAGAACAGGAAAGTCTTGCTTGGTCAAGTCCTCTGAAAATCGTGGTTTGATGCTATTCTTCACCAACCCTGTCTCCTGTGTCTGCCTGCTCAAAATTTGTCTACTAACAGGAAGCCCTTTCTTGTCCCTGACCGAAGCTGCCCGAGGTCAGCAGTGTCCAGGAGACCAGGGAGTTCAGGCGGGCCACCCAGATGAGTGGGGAGTGGGTGTACCCAGGCAAGACCCTGATCTGGATTGTTGGGGTCCTTGCAGCTGCCACCGAGGGTGAGACTCCCAGTGGGAGAGGAGGGCTTTCAGAAGGTGGGGTGGGGGCACTTTCCTACCTTGGAGGATTTTCCACTCATAGGAATGAACTTATTTCTCAGAAGTCCCTAAGGGCCCGTGGAGGGCTGTGCAGTAGCCTCAGGGCACCTCACCGTTGTCTTGGTGTTGCTGACATCCCCAGGGACAGAGTCTCCTTCTCAGGCACAGGTAGAGCACGGAGGACCCTGGTCTTACCCTTGACTTGTTTGCACCCTGTGGGGGGCTTGGAGAGCCCTCGGTCTTGGGCACTGGGGAGGGGCCTGGGGTGGAGCCCATGCTTCTGTAGTGCTGTCTGCATCCTCACTATTGAAATGGCATCAGAACAGGCAGTGCTAAGACACCTGGGTCCTGCTAAGTAAATCGCTGGGTAATTAACTTCTCAGGGCTCCATATTCTCTATGGAAACCGAGGAGCTTGCCCTCTCAGTCTCAGAAGTGTCATCCGCAGACACCTGGAGGCGGGTGACCTGACTTCAGGAGACATCTGCAGGAGAATTTTTTATTTTCATTGCCGTCTATTGATTTCCATGTGTATTCAAAAGCATATACCTAACTCATGAAAACCACAATTCCATAGATGTTATTGCTTAGGATTCCTCTAGGTAAAATTTTAAAAGTTTATTTCAATGTAATTTTAAGAAAAATAAAAATCCAGTAGTCATATAGATGATGTACATACACGCCAGCAATGGTGATAGTAAATATGAAAATGACTGAAAGTCTGGGCCCAAAGTGGGAAACTCTGGGCCAGATGATTTTGTACATCTGCAGAGCCTGGCGTATATCAGTCCCACAGTAAGGGAAAGCTTCTGTGCAGACACAGCTTCCAAATTAGTTGGGGAAAATTTTGTGGCTTGGTGCTGTGCTCCTGGGAGAAAATAGGTCGGTGTTCTGATGCAGGTGACTTCTAAGGCAATCTTGAAGGAAGCAGTGGACATGGGTTCATTGAGAAGGACCCCAGATACTTCCTGTTGCACAGCCTCTGGGCTGAGAAAGAGCGCCCCCACTGGGGGAGATCCGAGTTCGGCTTATTCCAGCCTCTTCCCAGCCAGCTCCTGATTCCTCCCTTGTGTTCCCTCAGGGCCAGCTGCAGATGCACCAGTGAGGAGCACCAGGCTGGGATGGATCCGAGGGAAGCAAGCCACTGTGCTTGGAAGTGCCATGCCTGTGAATGTGTTCCTCGGGGTCCCCTATGCTGCACCCCCTTTAGGACCCCTGAGATTTGCGAAACCGAAGCCTGCGTTACCCTGGAATGACTTCCGAGATGCCACATCCTATCCTAAATTGTAAGACCGGGCTGGGTCCCATGGGTAGCCTGCGACCTAGGAGTGGGCACAGAGAATTGAGGGGGAATAAAGGTCACACAGCCCAATGGGAAGGGAGAGGGCATGCGATGGGAGAAGGAGGGCTGGCTGCCGCAGTGGAAGGGTGCTTCAGTCACCGCGTGGCTCCCCAGCTGGCTGGCCGGCGGAGTCTCTGCAGGCATTGTTCCAAGCATGCAGCTTCTCTGGGCTCAGCTCCCTGCTTCTAGGTCAGAGTCTCCAGAGCTGGACCCAGGAGACTGGGTGGTCTGAAAACCCTCTAGGGATTCCGAGGACCAGTCAGGTTTGGGAACCTCTGTGATGGACTTAATGAGTCTTTTGGTTGGAAGGCACTGTCGAGGTGTTTCCGCGTGACCCCTTTCCCAGGCTTAGTCTCCAAGGTCAGGCAGGTGAGGACTCTAGAGCGAAGAACTGTGCTAGATGGATGTTAGCTCTAGCGGTCAACACTGCGCCTAGTGCAGGGCCTGGCTCATAGAGAGAAATCCACAAACACCTGTGGAATGAATCCATGAGTGTGTCTCTGTGACACAGGAGGACTGGGAGGTAAGGAGCTCCCCGTCACTGCAAATCTTCAAGCTTCGGTGGGCAGCCAGTTCCCAGGTGACTTGTGGAGGGTCCTCGTGCACTGGGTGGGAGGTGAGACGTGGAAACCCACAAGAATCTTCTGATTGTTCAGAATATGTGAAGCCCTCGGGTTGGTCACATCAGTTCCTGGCATTGGAGTCCCAGGCAGAGAGAGTACCCTGGTGCCAGGAATCTCCCTAAACCATAGAAGACCCCACACGGCCCAGGGACTGAGGACACTAGGCTGAAACTCATCTATTCACTCATTCCTTCATTTATCCATTCAACTAATACCTGCTGAGAACCAACTCAACAACTTTCTCTCCGTTAGGCCCTGGGGGACCCACAGTGGGTTAGACACGGCTGCCCTCGAGGAACGTGTAGGTGGAGAGTGGTGGTGTGGACATAATAATGACAATTAAAATATAGAATGACAAAGGCAATCATTAGGCGGTCAGAGCAGGGTGCCGAGGAAGAAGCCCCTAGCTCTGCCTGAAGGGAACTCGGGGATGGCTTTGTGGAAAGTATGAGTTCTTGATTTCTGATAAACAACATACAAAGGGGCAAAAAGGTACAAACACCTGTCAGAGTGGATTTGCAGCGATGGTTTCCTGCTGCCCAATCTGTACATTATTCTATTTAAAAAACGAACTAACATTAATTGAGCGCTTAGTAGAGATATTCACATATATAATCTCACTTAATGTGTGTCAGGCTCTGTGCTAGGGGCTATGAGGTACTGAGGTGACTAATACAGAGTCCTAGGCTTTAAGCTGCTTGTAGTTGAGTTGCGGAAGATGATAATGCTCGTACACAAGCCTAGAAGTTCTAGGAAAGAACACAAAATATGTGGGTGTTTCCAAAGAAGAGCCATGGTCTAACCAGAGAAATCTCCGAAGGCTTCTTAGAGGAGGTGGCACTTGGACCGAATCTGAAAGAAAGGGAAGGATATGAGCAAGCAGATGTGGGAAGAGAGCGGTCTGGGCAGAGGGACCACTTGAACGATGGCCTGAATGCACGAGTCCTCTGCCGCCTACCTCAGTTGGTTCCTGGTGGAGAGGCCTGGAAATGTTCTTTTGTTCCTCTGGGGGCAGAAGAGGGAGATGCCAGAGCAAAGCCCTTGAGACGTGACCAGCATCTTGCCCTCTACAGTTTGAGGAATCATGAGCCAGTTCGAGTCTGCGTGTGTGTGTCTGGATGGTGGTGGTGGATGTAGGCATGGGTGGATGCTGGGGCTAATGGTACAATTGTTCTGCACAATGTGCTTTCCTACCTGGGAACCTGATAAAACAGAGTTAGAGTTTGTTGGTCGGTTTGTGCCACCACGGGGTGGAGTGGGGTATCCTTAGACTTTGTGCCAGTATCTCCCGTGTGCCTCTTCTGCTCAGGCACTGGAGACCGCCAGGCCCCCCTCCCATCGCAAGAACTGGCCCCTCCCGAGCAGCTCTACTGACAGCAACTCCCGGGCTTCTCCTCCCCTCTTCTAAGGTGCCTCCAGAACACAGAGTGGCTGCTCTTGGATCAACACATTCTCAGGGTGCGTTACCCCAAATTCCACGTGTCGGAAGACTGCCTGTACCTCAACATCTACGCGCCGGCCCACGCGGACACGGGCTCCAAGCTCCCTGTAAGGCCGCCTACCGTGCTTGGGGCTCCAGCTAGCAGGTTCTCGGCCTGGGATCCGGGCCGAGCGGCTGGGTGTCTCCAATGGGATGGAGCCCTGTTGGGTAAAAGGGAAATGGAATCACTTGACATGCCAATAACTTTCTTAAAGAGCCGTTCTGATGACAGATTCACTTCCTCTTCTTTTCTGATTGCTTCTTTATCGGCAGTGACTTGACCTTTGATTTTTACTTTGTTTTGTTTTCCCCTCTGTTGAGGGTCTGGAAACATTTAGAGAAAACACTGCCTGGAGGACTTCGATTTTTTTTGTTTGGAAAATGATTTTTTAAAGAGGCTAATTACATTCTCCAATTTTTCTGTTTACAATGAAGACAGATAATAATGTGAAGTATTTCGTGTAAGAATGTAAAAGATCCCTGTGTAAGTGATTGGGAAAGGTACAGTCCACCATCTAGTTTTAAGCACACCCCCGTCGTCCTCTCTCTCCACGCCACTGCGATGGGAGACTCGCTCTATCGTGTTGTAACAGCAACATCTATTGAGCACAGACTGCATGCCAGGCACTGTGCATCATCTCATCTAACCCCCATAACGGACCAGAGGGTGAGGATTATTGGACCCATTCTACAGATGACGACAATGACAGGGAGGGCATAGCGACTTGCTGCATGTTGTACACACAGTAAGTGGCAGATCCTGGTGCCAAAGCTAATGCTGCGTCCAGTTCTCCTTTCTTCTCAGTGACTTCCTTCTCTTTTCCTGTCCCAAGTGCTGTGGTCCCTAACATGACCTTTAAAAAGAGAACAGAAGGGATTTATTATTAATATATAAGTAGTGATAATACCATTTGAGTAATGTTTTATATTCCCTGGCTCCAACTTTTCTAATTCATACTGTAAGATTTCCTCACTTCTCTTCCCTTTTTCTCTCTCCTCTTTTCTCTTCTGTCTGTAGGTAGGAAAAAGCCTCAGATTAAAACGGCTTAAGCTGCTTTTGCTCTCATATGTGGCTTACAACAATTTCTATCTTCCTGTGCATCACAAGTTCAATGATATTTAGTTAACACTTTCTGAGCACTTGAAATGTGCCAACATTGTTCTATGAACTTTAGAAGCAGAATCTTTTTTAAACCTCACGATAACCTGATAAATGAGATACTTTCATCTTTCGCATCTTACACATGAGAAAACAAGCCTCAGAGAGGTAAGTAATCTGCCCAAGGTCACACAGCTAGTCAGGGGCAGAGCTGGGAATCAAACCCAGGTACTCAGATGCCAGAGTTCACATGCTTAGTCCTGAGACTTCTTCGAAAGACAAAACCTCTGATGCTGTTTAGGAAGGAAAGTGAGACATTTATACTTCCCTAAAGAAAGAAGGTCCAAACATGCATGGGGAGGGGATGTGGGTGTCTGGTGGGCTGACTGGAGAGTTCCTTTCCCCTCCTTAGGTCATGGTGTGGTTCCCTGGGGGTGCCTTCGAGAGTGGCTCAGCCTCCCTCTTCGATGGGTCTGCCCTGGCTGCCTACGAGGACGTGCTGGTTGTGACCACCCAGTACCGGCTAGGAATGCTTGGCTTCTTCAAGTGAGTCTTCCCAAATGATCGACACCCTGGATCCCCAAGAGGCAGCTGGGCGGCAGCCACAGGGGATTCACTGCCCAGCAACCTAAGGAGGAATGACATTGAACAAATTTGGCCCAAATTTGTTACACGATTTCAACAGCAATAATAGATAAACCTCCATGTCTTAGTGGCTTAAAACAATAATAAGTCTCTTTCTCACTCAAGTGAAGTCCAATTGAATGTTGCTGACTGATAGACATCCTTCCACATGATCAATCAGGGACCCGTGCTCCTTCCGTCTTGTGCTCTGCCCTCCTGTAGGGCCCCAGACCCTCTGCATTTGGCCAGCAGATGGAGAAAGAGCATGGAGGATCATGTGAGGGAGGTCTTTCTGCGTCAGCCTGGAAGTGGCTCTCATCACTTCTGTTCGCATACTGTTGGCAGAACTCAGTTACATGGCCACACCCAACTGCAAGGCAGATGGGAAATGCAGCTCAGCTGTGTGCCCAGGAAGATGAGGAAACCGTGTGTGAGACTACTAACCGTGCGTTAGCAGTCTCTGTCATGGGTCCCCACCTCAAGGCTCCTCAAAGACTCACCTGAGAATGGTCACTCCATTGCATTGGCTCCCCTCCCTCCAATAATATCTGGCGTGTATCGAGTACTCACTGTGAGCCAGGTACAGTTCTGTGCACTGGCCATGCATTGTTTCAACTCACCTTCAGAATAATCCTATGAGAAACATACTGTTGTTATTTCCATTTGTCAGTAGAAAAATGGAGGCACAGAAAGGTAAAGAATTTCCCAGAGGTCACAGGACAGAGCTGGGGCTCTTGGCCACTTTTATTATCCTACTTAGAACACAGCAGAACCTAAGCCCTGTCTAACGTGCAGTATGAGCCAAGAGGAGTAGTGAGGGGTCACTGTCAGACACTGTGGGGAAGGGAGCAGTGAATCCGGCATAAATTCTATCCTCAAGAGGCTTTCTGGAAGTGTGGTGAGGGAGATAACACAGAGACACAAGCACCCGTGCTGCCAGGGGGGACATGATTAACGCTCTGAGAGTGCGAGTCAGTGAGGCTGTAGAAACAGAGGAGGGAGCTAGAAGGAATTAGGGAGGCTTCATTCAAATTGCACCTTAAAGATGAGGTTGGGTATGGGAAGGAGGGTTGGGAGAGAGCACGCTCAGCAGACGGGCTCCCTGAGCAAAGGCTAGGAAACAGGCAGGGAATGCAGCAGCATGTGGGCCTAGAGCAATATTTGCAAACTGTGCTCTGGGCTTGTAGCTCTGGGAGGTGGCTCTGGGGCTGCAGTGGAGACAAAGAGGGCTGAGAGGGGTGCCCTGACCAGAGCAATTACATTCTTAGCTGCTCTGTATGTTGGGATTCTGCATGAGATTCCTTTAGCGGAAAGGTTTCCAAAGATTGTTTATAGTATCTGGGTTCTAGTAGGCAGGTAGATGAGGATCAGCAGGAGATGGAGGTGGAAAGGCAAGGATGGGCATGATTGGGAAAGGCCTTGAATGCTGGGCTGTGCACGGAGGCTGGGCTTTCTCCAATAAAGAGTGAGGGACCCAGGAGTGCCCTAGAGAGCAGGATAGCAAGAAGGTCATTCCAGAGCAGAGTGCAGGCTGGGCTAGGAGTGCCCAGGTTGCTGATGGAGAGGCTACTGCATAGTCTTGATAGAGGCCGTGGAGTGAGGCAGCGTGGCTGAATAATTAGAGTGATGGCTCACACGTACATACATGGGCTTGCACTGTCACTCTTAAAGACAACTGTGCCAAGCAGGCACCATTATTAGCCCCATTTTAGACATGGAAACATTGAGGCAAAGCAGGTTAAGTGAATGGCCCAAGGTCATCCAGATCATAAGTGACCAGTTTATGAATCAGGATAAATAGAAATGGCACAATGGGGACTTATGTGGGAGCCACAATGGATTGGAGGTAAAATTGACAGGGCTTGGCTCCTGCATATGTGGGGGTCGTGGGAAAGAGAAGGCAGAGTTAGAACCAGTCCAGGGGTCATGGATAGACAAAGGGACCCAAGGGGAGGAGCAGTGGGAAGGCTGGAGAATGGAGGGGCATAGAATAGATTCCCAGATTACTCATATATGTGGTGTGTACCACGTGGATGTTTTGGTCTAGGCATTTCTTTGATTCTATCGTATTTTCCCTTGTTTCCCCATTAATTGCTCACCCATCCTGGGAAACATGCTATTCTGTAGGGGCACAGGGGCATGGGTAGGAGCGTGGACTCTGGGGCCAGACACATTGGGTTTGAATCTGCAACTTTCTAGACCCTGGGCAAGGGATTCACCTCTCTGTGCCTCGATGTCCTGTCTGTAAGAAGGAGATTGTGTGTATCTGTCAGTAACCTTAGGGCATGCTCACAGATTTCATTGATGTGGGTGGCGTGAACTGCAGCCCTGGAGACATGCAGCCCCTGCCCAGACCACTTCCCAGCAGAGAGGGGGCATGGAGTAGAATAAACTTCCTAGTCTCTGGATATCTCGCCCTGAAGCCCCTGGCGTTGCCTCCTGCTGACCGCACACTGCTGGAGGCATGGGTGATGTAGTTCGTGGAGCTCAGCCATTTGGAAGCAGGGCAGAGAAGGGTGGAGAAAAGGGCACCAGAGAGGCAAAGGAAAAAAACCTAGCACCATCGACCTCTCAGGTTGGGGCAGATTATAGGAGCATCAGCTGTAAAGCCCTTAGGACAGTGTCATGCACATTGCTGCCACGCTGCAGTTATTATCATTGTTATTCATTTAGTCATTCATTGGAAACTCTCTACCCAGGGAGGTCTTACTCCCTGGTGCAGACCAACTCTCAGGAGAAAGACTTTTCTGGAATCTACGGATTCAGGGGAGCCTAAGAATACCCTGAAAATGCACAGACAAGATTGTCTGTGCATTTCTTCTGGGGTGTGTAGCTTTCATCAGATTCTCAAAGAAACCGAAATCCCAGCAGAGGGTGAGAACTAAGCCCAGTTTTCCCAGCTTCCCAGGCCTCCACTCTCAGCCCCTCCCCAGTGGGAGTGGGAATGCCCTGACACCAGCCTGCAGCCTCCACCACCAACTCCCTGGGCCGCAGGAAGCACGTTGTCAACTGAGCATTCTCACTCTGTCTCCCAGCACAGGGAACCAGCACGCACTGGGGAACTGGGCCTTCATGGACCAGATGGCCGCGCTGCACTGGGTCCAGGAGAATATCGAATTCTTTGGTGGGGACCCACGCTCTGTGACCATCTTTGGGGAGTCAGCAGGAGCCATAAGCGTGTCCAGCCTTGTGAGTTCTCTTTGGGACTTGAAGGAACCTTGGTGGGGGAGGTTAAAAAATGAGGATGATGATCACTCGCGGTTGGTTGGTGCTTCATGTTGAACAAATACTTTTATACACATTGTCTCCCTTGACCCTCACAAGTGCCTCACGAGTCAGGGGCCCAGGCTCATTTCGAGGACAAGAGCTGTCATCCGGAGAGTTGAAATGAATTGCCCAAGGTCACACAGTGAGTGATAATTTGAGGAAAAATCCCTTATTTTTGTGGAATTGAAAGCCTGGTATCCAATTACCAGGACTAGTAGTTACTTGTTTAATAGAAAAGCTCAGCTAAAGCATAATATAACAAAGGATGCATATAAACTTCTTATTTTAACCCAAACATAAAATGTACATTTCTCCTCCGTTGGTTTGATACAGTGCCTTATCTTTCCAGAGTCGATCTGCCGACTTGAGGGCCAACGTGGGCTTTCTTGCATAAACCACTGCAGAGTTCACTGCCCTCAAATTGTAGTTGCAGTGTGTTTACAGCGAGCGCAAACTTAAAGATGCCTGCAGAGTGGTCTGTGAATACAGTGCACTGAGGGAGCTTTGTCCCTCCACATATTTCATTCTTTTCTTGTTCACATCTAATTTGACAGCAGTATTTTTTAGCTACCTGACTTTATCAAGGTTTTTTTCCCCCCAAAACGCAATTTTGTTTTCTTTTTACATGCACACTTCATTGGTTCCCATCATAATTCATTGATTATGTAATTATAATAGCAAATGTAACTGACAAAATAAGTTGGGAAGGAAACACACTGGCCCGTTGGCAAGAACTTGGTGGGAATAGAAATGGGCAGAGGTGCCAGAAAATGGCCCACTGGCTCTGAATGGTCAGTATTTCCTGGGCGTCATTTAGTATGTTAATCACAGAAGTCAGTTACACGGAGATGGGTTCAGAGAGCTTCTGCTGTACAACCCTTGACAATGTACAAGGTATTTCTATATCTTCAAAATAACCTTCTAAGGTGGATTGTATTAACTCGACTTCACATACATGATAACAGCCACCATTTCATGAGCACTCACTATTTGAGCGGCACTATGCAAAGCCTTCTATATTCATTACTTCTCTCACGCCTCACAACAATTTTGTGACATGGGCATAATTTTTACTCCACTTTTATAAGGGACTAAGTTGATGCTTAGAAGTATTAAGCAGCTTGGCTGATGTTGCCCAGCTGGGGAGTGAAGGAGCTAGCACTCACATGCCAGAATGTTTGACCTCAAAGTTCATGAGGAACCTGGGGCTTGTATAGGTTAAATATCTTGCCCAAACCTTCACAGCTAGTCCTTGAACCCCCAAACCAGGACTTTTCCCCCTCTAAGGTTAGTACTCTTAAGAAGACTTCCTGGGAAGGTGTCTTTCAAGAAGGGATGGGTGGTGTGTGATGTGTGGGCAGCCCCCTGGATAACTTCTTTGGTCTCCTGTGTTCTCTCTCCAGATTCTGTCCCCCATGGCCAATGGCTTATTCCACAAAGCCATCATGGAGAGTGGGGTGGCCGTCATCCCTTACCTGAAGGCCTCTGATGATGAGAGGAATGAGGCTGTAGGTATACTGTTAACACCTCTCTAAGTTCCTCTCCTTGATCAGGAGAGAATGTGGTCAGGTGTCCACAGACCGTGTGCTTGGCTGTCCTTGCTAACCATAGCCAGGAGACCTGATGCTGGCCCAAGGTGAACCTTGTTGCTCCATGGGAGGTCTGGTTCAAAAGGAAATGGGTTGAGGTACACAATGCACTACCGCTGGCGTGCATGATTGTGTGTGTGCATGTGTGTGTTTCTATGTATGCATGAGTAAGTGTGTGAGGCAGTTCTTACATCTTATTCATTATTCTTTGCCTGTGATATATAACTCAGTTCCCTGTATCATATATTGCTCTTCTGTACCTACCATACACCACCTAGAGTGTTATGTTAAGAACTATTCTGAGGCTGTTTGCAGGTCAGTGGGAAAAAACACTGTGACTGATTAATGCTGTCTGGTATGAGAACGTGAGGGGGAGGTGAGGCATATGCCCCAGATATTTGTCATTTGTCATCTCGTCTTAGTGCTCTACCAGCTGGTGAGGACCTGGAGAGCAAATCGTCTATATCTTTCACATCCCAGGATAATGCCTGATGTATATTAGGCGGCTATGAATGTTTGCTGAATGAATGAGTTAACAAATGAACTGATTCATTTAAAGAATGTTAATTAAGCACTGGGCTGTGGATTCATCTACTGGGTATTATTCATTTTAGTGGTATATTTTCTGAAACACCTTATAGAAAATAACAGTGTACACTGAGAGTAGAAACAGAGTTATAATACTGCAAAAATACCCTCACTACACAGGGAATACTGACTTTGGTTACATGATATATCAAGCTACTTTCAGTTTGTGTGTATATTTGTTCATTCGCCACCCACACATTGAGTGCCCATCGTTTTCCTGGCTGTATGTTAAGACCTGTGGCTTATTAGTAGAGAAGGCGTAAACTAACTTGAGAAGACTATACTCTAACCTGGAACCCATGGATATGTTTTGGAGGTGGTCCTTGAACTTCTACAATTGTATGCAGACTCTATATGTTTGTGCATTTTCCCAGGGAGAGGGTCTTTAGCTTTCATTGGATTCTCAGAGCATCTATGACTCCCAGAAGAGCAAAAACCACCTCATTCAAGGGACAAGTTCTACATATGTGGAAAGTCCAGTGACAGGGAAAGAAGGTGTTTAGCAAAGGGCTAGGTAGAGAAGGTGGAGATCCTTGGGGTGACAGGAGATTAGAGGAGGAAGGGGTTCATGGAGGCTGAAGGGATCTGAAAGGACATCTTTGAGTAGGTGGGATTGAGCCTTAAAGAATGAGTGGAATTGGTGTAGAGCAGAAAAAAAAAATGTTCAGGGCATTCCAGGTGGGTGGGGGTGAGGTTTGAGCAGAGCTAAGCTGAGACTGAGGCTGGAGTCATGCCTCAAATGACAATGGAGGAGCTTGCAAAGCTGTTCCTCACTCTTTGGGCTCCTGGCTCCATTTAGTCCCCCAGAGTCGGGCTTCTGGGCTCTGTGGGACCTAGTGCCAATGAAGCCAACACCACAGGACTGGTGTCTTTGTGACCAAGAATCGTGACTCCATTCCATGGCCACAGACTGACAAACCACCTCCCCCAGCTCTGGAGATTGCTAAGGATGGCAAGGAGGGTCAGGTAAGAGAGTAAGGGTGATGCAGTGCCAACTGGTCCTCAATGTGTACAGTCAATTATGGGCACATGGGGTGGGGATGTGCAGCAGGCTGGACTTCATAGATGAAAGATCCGCCTGTGGCTGGATTGAGGTCTCTTTCCAACTTTCAATTTCCTAGAGGTTTTCAGTACTGTGTTCTGACCTGGTCCTTCTCTGGAAATAGTTGCAGGTGGTTGCGGATATCTGTGGTTGCAATTCATCAGACTCCGTGGCCCTGCTTCAGTGTCTGAGGGCAAAACCCTCTGAGGAGTTGCTGATCATCAGCCAGGTGAAGAGGGAAGGGAGAGTTTGGGTGTAGGGTTGCCGTTTGAATGGAGACGTAGACAAATCCTACCACTCTTTTGTTTATTTTGATTTGGGCTTGGAAAGATGGGGGTTGGGGTTTATAGTAATGGCTGTTAAGAAAAAATGTGAAATATAGAAACCTTACAGGTAATTTAAGGAACTTGAAGGGCCTGGAGTTCTGATTAAACTGGATAAGATCCAGAAAAATATGAGGTTGTCTCTATGTCAGTGAAGGCCTTGCACTGGGAAGAGGGACCACACTTGTTCCCCATGCTGCCAGAAGCTAAAGTCAAGATCTAGAAGTGGAAATTCTGTTAGGGAGCCATTTTGGCTTGGTGTAACCAAGAACTTTCTAAAAACTCAGTTGTCTGAAAAAGCTCCTTTAGAAGGCATGAGATCCCCACCTCTGTAGGTATGCAAGCTGGGTCTAGATGAGCACTGACAAATTTCAATCACAGGATGATTCATTGGATGGATGAACATTTATGTCTGTTCCAATCTCAAGAGCCTCTGTTAGTCGTTGAGAGAGTGAGGTCAACATCTGTCAGATTCCAACATTTGTTCAGGAGTGACTTGGCATGGATTCAGGATCTGCAGTGAGCTGCACTGGAGTCTGGAAAATGGATGATAAGTCCTTGACCCAGTGTACTGTGAAAGCTCTTTTATGTGCTCCCTTCTACCACTCTCAATATAGAAACCTAAAAAACCATGATTAGAGCCAGGTGTTGCTTCCTGAGACCCAAGAAATATCCAGCCAGATCCAAAGCACAGAGCTGAGGAAGACATCTCAGGAAGATGCTTATGCCAATCTCCATGACCCTGGCCATTGCTTCCCCTCACCACTCTGCCTGTTGCATTTGGTCAGTCGTTCCACACTTGAGCATGCATCAGACTCACTTGGAGAGCTTGTTAAACCAAGTTTTCTGGGCTGCACCCCCAGAGTTTCATATTCAATGGGCCTGGAGTGAGGCCTGAGAATTTGCATTTCTAACAACTTCCCAAGGGAGGCTGATGCTGCTGGTCCAGGAGCCACGCTATGAGAACCATTGTGTGAGGCTATTGTTTTTCTCAGTAGATACTATTATTATCCTCATCTAGCAGATGAGGAAGCAAGGCACAGAAAAGTCGAGCCCCTTTGTCCAGATAAGTGGCAGAGCTGGCCAGGTAGCACTGATATGTTGGGATAGGCCAAGAGTGGCTTATTTTTCTTTTCTTAATGCATTTTTTAGAGAGGGTTGGCTCAGCTTGGCTAGGGTTTTGGGACAGCAGATTTTGTGAACAGAAACAGCTGCCCGTTTTTCTCTTCTTCCTTATTTCAGAAAACCAAGGCTTTCACTCGAGTGGTTGATGGTTTTGTCTTTCCTGAAGAGCCTGTAGACCTATTGACTAAAAAAACATTTAATCCAATCCCTTCTATCATCGGCGTCAATAACCACGAGTGTGGCTTCCTGCTGCCCATGGTAAGAATTCTGGTTGTGCCTCCTGTTGTGACCTCAGCAGAGAGGCAGCCATTTGCTTCCACAGCTTGGTATTCCCATAGATGACACCAAGCACATGAGGGCTGGAGCCCGTCAGCCAAGTACACTGTGGTCATATTTCCTGTGTCAGAAGGAGGGTAACTGAGGATTGGGGCAGCCACAGCAAGTGTCCGCCCTGATCCTCGTACAGGTTTATGGCAATAGAAACAACGCTATAACCAACTAAGAGAGGATGGGGTCCATTTGAGCTTTGTTCAAAACATTACATATGATTGTTTCAAATAAGCACAGTTACTACTTCAAAAATGAAATTCATAAAGGTTTGGACAACTTCAGGGCCTTACACACTCATGTCCAGCCTCGGTTCTGGCATCTGACTTCCAAGGATGCTCTCTAAGTTTGTACAAGTTGCAAAATTATTGACTCCTTGTATTCATTCAACAAGCACGAACCGGGCATTTCCTATAAGCACTACACACTCTTAAAAACTGTGCAGTCAACAGTGAACAAGTCACAGGGTTACAGCTCTCTGCAAGCTCACATGCTGGTGGTGATAGACAAATGAGATACCAGGTTTCTGAGAGTGACAAGTGCCAGGAAGGACATACACTGCAGGGAAGGCTTCTTTAGGAAAGAGAAGGGGTGGTCGGGAAAGGCTTCTCTGAGGAGGAATCCTTTGCGTGAAGTCTTAACACAGAGAAGGAGCCATGATTTCTTGCCCCTGCTGTCTGAGAAGATCCTCCTCATTTGCAATAAACTTTTCATCTGTCCTCAGATGAGTGGAGTGCTCAAATTCATAATACTGTCAAAGCTCATTTATGTAGACCGACCTCCTCCTTTTAAGCTGGGGAAATGAGGCTATGAAATAGAAGTGATGAGAGCGTTGGTGAAATAGAAGTGATGAGAGCAGTTGGTGGCCGTCTAGAATCAGAGCCCTGAGTTCGCTGGACTGTGAGACTTGTCTTCCATTATTAATTTGCCTACAGAGCAATGTTTTGGGGTGAGCGGCGATGGAGATTTCTCTCCTTCTGTTGTAAATGAGGAAACTGATTCACAGACTGTGACGAAAGTGAGGCCTTTCAATGTCATCTGGGTCTGTTTTAGGAAGAAGGCAGTTACTACTGATGATGACCACCACCAACATAACCACTATGACCAAACAGGCATTATCATCCCATTTTCCAGCTAAAGAAACTGAGCTTCAGACAAGCTAACATGACTTTCCTAAGTCTCCCAGCCAGTGAGGAGACGGTGTATAAATGCAGTTAGGCTCTGCCTGTAAATGCTGGGTTCTCTGTTTACCTGATGTGTGGCCTTAAGTGAGCTGCCTAACCTCTCTGAATGGAGTTGCCTCATCTGAGAAACAGGGATAATTTTACTACCCGCCTCACAGGTACACATCAAATAGCCTGATGTATAGTAAGTGCTCAGTAAATGTTAGATATTGGAAGTATTCAAATGGCAGAATGGGAATTGGTGCCCAGGTCTGTGCAGCTCAAGAGCCTGCATCGCTGCTGATATTCCATGGGACCTTGCAGTTACAGCCACTGCTGGCCATGGAGACCTGGGAAATCCTCCCAAACCAACCCCAGCTCCTGAGCATACAGAGAGGGTTCCTAGTAGTTAAAATATACTTGTGGATTATTTGAGTGACTCTAGGGGTTCCCTCAGATTCCAGGAGACAGATATGTTTAAATATCTACCCCAGTGATTCATTACCCCAAGATTACAGCAGAAAATATACCAGGAAAATTCATTGACAAGTGAGTAGTAATTTCTACCCCTTCATGTTTTTAAGCTGTAATGTTGGCCAGGGGAGGGTCATTCATAAATGATTACCTGTAGCTTTTACTTCCTACCAAGCAGCACCTGCCAACTGCTTCTCAGCAGTCCTGATTGTAAAGGTGTTTGGAAAGAGAACAACAGACCATTAGTTTTGAGATTTTTCTGGCTTCTCTTTGAACTTGGTGTTGAAGCCAAGTTGTGGCCTGTATTAGTTTGCTAAGGCTGCCATGACAACATGCCACAGATGGAGTGGCTTAAATCACAGAAGCTTGTTTCCTCATAGTTCTGGAAGCTGGAGGTCCAAATTCAAGGTGTCAGCAGAGTTGGTTTCTTCTGAGGCCTTGCTCCTTGGCTTGCACATGGCCGTGTTCTCCCTGAGTACTCACATGGTCTCTCCTCTGTGTGTGTATCACTGGTGTCTCTTTGTGTGTCCAAATTTCCTCCTCTTATAAGGACATCAGTCAGATTGGGGTAGGGCCCACCGTAGCATCCTCACTTTAGCTTTGTCACCTCTTTAACTGTCTCCACATACAGTCACATTTTGAGGTCCTTGGGGTTAGAGCTTCAACATAGGAATTTAGGAGAGGACACCATTCAACCCATAATACAGCCTTTACGCAAGGCAGCCATTCAGGTCCCACAAGACTGTAGATGTGACAGGGAATGGCTGCCTTTCATCAAATGTGAGAAGCAGCAGCTTCATTGCTGGACCAACCCACAGAGGCTGTTCCTACATGTGAACGCCTGGGAGCTGAGAGGGTTCCTGCTCTTCCCAGTGTCCCCTCTGAATGGCGGATGCCTAGGCCCTTGGAGAGACCAGTTTCCCTTTTGGTGACCTGATGTACTCACAGAGGACACCCTGCTTCTATCCACAGAAGGAGTTTCCTGAGATCCTTGGGGACTCCAACAAGTCTCTCGCCCTGCGCTTGATACACACAATCCTGGTAAGTGACCTTGGGCGACTACGTGACCTTGGACTCTCCATTCATTTAACAAACCTCCCTGGGTCACGCTCAGGAATAGGGGGTGGGGGCAGTGACATTCCTCGTTCATTCGTTCAGTAGATCTTTGCTAAGTAGAATTCAGCAATCCCCTACCCACAATCTCAAAAACCAAAGAGTTCTGAAAATCCAAAGACTTTTTGTAACCCACACGGCAGCTAGTCTTGAACTAGACCGATACGTAGCCGTTAGTCTTTATTGTTCCCACACTTTCATTCACTTTATTTATCCCACTATTCATACGTTTCTCTGCGGACACAATAAGGTGGGGGCTGGAGTGCTGGCCTGGCCCCTCCCCACCTAGTGAGCCTGTTACATAATAGGCAGCATATGTACTGAATTGCCTATCTACAACCTGAAAAGTTCTGAATTCTGAAACCCACCTGGGACTAGGGACTGTATTTACTACATGCCAGCCAGGCACTGTGCTAGGTTCTAGCAACACCGAGGACCATTACTAAATCATTTGTTCATTCATTCCCTGGACAAATATATCCTAGACGCTATGATGTAGAGATGGATTAATTTCCTCTCTTCCTTTCTTCTTGCCATACATGTTTATTCAGTGTGTACTCCGTGCCAGGTTTGTTTCATTCATTTACTCACTGAACAAATGTTTATTGAGAGTCCACATGCCCCACCACTTCTCCAGGGACTGGAGAGCAGTGATAAGCAGACACTTTTCCTGCACTTGAGAAACTTGTAGACTGATGGGGTGGATGGACATGACAAGACCCTTCAGTAAAGTGCTATACAAACCTGAGCAGAGGAATGTCCTAGGCCATCTTGGTTATCTGGTGATGAGAATTGAGACAAAGATTTGAGAGATATTTAAAATACAAATCAGACAGTGGAATCTCTCAGGCTTGATTGTATATGGCCATACAGAGGAGGTGGTCATTGACCTGGGTCTTAGGGAAGGGGAACATTTGAGCAGGAGGACATTTTAAGAGGAGAAGGTATCTTGAGCCAGGTTCCACGGGTGGGAAGTAGAGTGTGCAGGTGCAGGAGGACCAGAAGAGTGTGCAGTCTCTCCTAGGGCCTAGTAGCATGGCAGGAGCTGTTTTTCAAATGGTAAGTAGTTCTCTGATGCAGAAGGCATAGCCTTGTTCCAGAATTCCGGGGTTCCGCACTGTGACTGTCTTGTTGGCGCTCGCCAGAGGCTCCACACAGCATCTGTACTCACCTTGGATATCTCAAGCACTGAGCGGTCTGCTGTTCATATGGCCCATGTGAGGGGCACTTGCACCACAGCCTGGACCCGCTGCAGAGCCCTCCCTTGCTCTGATCTGATTTCAAACACTCAGCCTTTGGAGGACCCAATGAATGAGTCCAAGCAAGCGCCCCCTGCTGTGGTAGATGCTTCTTCCAAATTCCAAAGAAACAAACAACAGACCATGCGCCTGTCTTAGTGTTAGGGGTATGGTGTAATAACTTGTTCCAGCACTCCGCAGAGTACCAGACCCCTAAAAATATCACCAAAGTGGCAGACTCTGAATCTTCGTGAAGTTTACCCTTCACACTCTGACATTAGTGCTTACGGCAAGTTGAGGGATTGAAGACTGGGAGGCAGCCTGGTGCCAAATCAAAGAAAGCATGGAATGTCCTGTTACAGGTCTTGACAATGGGTCTCAGGGGGAACTGACAGGACTGAATACCTTCTCTCTGACAGGCAGCATGCTTTTCTCCTTGCTTCTCATGTAATCCTCTGAACAACTCATTTTTTATAGATGAGGGAACTCCAAAAGACCAATTAGCCTGGGCCAAATAGCAAAGGCCTGGAGGCAGTGCTGATACCAGGAGCAGGGCTGTCTTCATGGATGTATGACCTGTGTAGTCACAAGGACCTCGCGCTGAGAAGGGTCATACACTTGGTTAAAAGTTCTGTTGTCACCATCTTGAAATTCTTAGAATTTTTGAACAGGGGCCCCCATATTTTCATGTTGCACTGGGCCCTACTAATAATACAGCCAGCTCTGGCCAGGGGTGGTTATTTCTGATACATTTCAGAGAGGCGTGCATACTGTGATTAGGAGCATGGAATTTGGATGCAAACAGACTAATGAAAGAATCGTGGTTCTAGCAGTTTAGACAAAGTGCTTAATCTGCCTAAGCCTCAGTTCCCCTGTCTGTGATGTGGGCTAATTTTAATACTTGCATTATAGGATCACTGTGTGGATTCAATGAGGCAATGCATACAAAGCACGTGGAGTCATCCCTGCACAGCAAATGTTTAATGTTTTGGCTGTTGGTGCTGACCTAGATCTCATGTGACCATGATTGTTTTACAGCATGTCCCTGTCCAGCATTTACACCTTGTGGCTAATGAATACTTCTACAACAAGCACTCCCTGTTTGAAATACGAAATAGTTTTCTGGACCTGCTTGGAGATGTATTTTTTGTGGTCCCTGCGCTGGTCACAGCTCAATATCACAGAGGTGAGTCTCTGAACACCCCCTGCAGGACCACAGCCCAGCAAGGCTGGTGGCTGGAGGGATCCTCATTGCCTGCTGACCAGCTGCCTGCTCCGCCCTTCGGCTCTCTCACTGAGAGGGAGGTCCCAAGGGTGTCTGGGATAGAACCCTGCATGCCGACCTTTGTAATTCCCTGCCTTACAGTGTTCAGGAATGTTGATCAGTTCTTGTTGTTTCTGTTCCTTCCCCTTCTTCAAGACCACGTAGAAAACTCCCACCTCCCCGTAATTTTCTGGGGCCTGCCCCCACATTCCTTTTTCTTTGGAAGGGTCTTCCCAAACTTCTTAGCTTTAAGGAGTAGTGGAGCAATCAGAAAGAGAATAGTACTTGTGAGGGCACAAACCCAGCCTTCCTCCCTCCCTCCCTTCCTTCTTTCCCCTTCTGTCTCTCTGTCTCTGTCTCTTTCCTCCTTCCATCCTTTCTTTCTTCTATATTCCTTTCCACAAATATTTATCATAGGCCTACTGTGTGCCTGGCCCTATTCTAGGCCCAGAAGACACAGCAGTGAACAAAGCAAAGACTCTGCCACTGTGAGACTCATATTCTAATCAGGAAGACTGATAACAAAGAAACAAGTAAATATAGAATGCATGCTTGTTAGATGGTAATAAGTGCTGTAGTGTAAAATACAGCAAAGTAGGGGATAGCAGTGACAGGGTGCTGTGGGAGGATCCTGTATTATAAGGTCTGTTAAGGTGACAGGTAAGAATCGACTCTTAAATTTGGCAACATGGAGATCACTGATGACCTTGACAGGACCTATCATGATGGAATGATGGAGGTAAAAGCCTGACTAAAATGGATTCAAGAGAAAGTGGACAAACTGATTTCCAGACTCTATACAATCCAAATCTCAACCAAAATCTCAGCAGTGGTTTTGGAGAAGTGAATAAGCTAATTATAAAAATTTATATGGAAATTAAAAGATAGCCAAAATAATCTTGAAACAAAATAACAAAGCTGGAAGACTGACAAGACACCTGATTTCAAGACTTATCTTTGAGCTACAGTAATTAAGAAAGTCTGGTATTGGCTGAAGGGTAGAAAATACAAAACAGAGTGAAGAGTCCAGAAAATAGACAGTTAACCAATTTTCGACAAAGGTGCTGAGGTAATTCAGTAGAGAAAAGAAATTCTGTTCAACAGTTGGAGCTGGAATAGCTAGATATCTGTGTAGAAAAAGTGAATCTCAACCACCCTAACTCACACCATACACAAAAATTAGTTTGAGATGAATGATCGATCCAAATGTAAAGGATAAAATTGTACTTAAGCAAAATTAACATTTTTGCTTGTCAAAAGACACTGTTTGTTGACAGTATCAGCAAAAATGGTGGAGTAGGGAACTCCCACAGCCTGTCCCGCTACAAAAGGAGTGAATAAAATGGCAAAGACTGTCAGAATCAACTTTATCAAAACTCTGGAAACAAATCAAGGGTTTACAGCAAGCAAGTGAACACTTCATCAAGACATAAGCTTTTGAGTTTCAGCAAGAGAGCTTTGTGTCATTTTAATTTACTCCGCACCATCTCCTGCTATCCAGCGAGGCAGTGGCCTTGTAGACAGCCTGCATTTATAGTATAGATTCCTAGTACTGGAGGGAGAAGCATGGACCTTATTCTCAAAGAATTGTGGTTGTTTGTTTTGACCTGTCTGATGGCACCCTGAACTAAGCTCAAAGGGCTTGCTTTTATTTCACCTAACTCAGAACACTCTTAAGGCTGAGGTAGCTACCTGGAGGGCATTTTTTATAAACATTTAAAGTTAAGTGCATTTGCTGCTGCCACTAAGGGCAAGGGATAACAGCTGGAGCAAACAATAGACAAAGCTTAAGAGGAAAGTCTGGGCAACAAGATGCTTTGGGGAATAAAGGCTTGAAAAGCTCACTTATATTCCTGGGATTCTAGAAGGCCATGTGCATGTCCAGAGTGGGGAGCATGCTCAGAAAAGGCCAGAGAAGGCTCTAAGCTCTCACATTTGGCTGACCTACAGGCTCTACTCAAACAGAAAGTGAAGACTAGGAAAGAATTGTTAACTACCTGGCTGAGTATTGAGGGAGTGCTCCAACACACACAGAGCCTACCTTCAAAGACTAGGAGTTTTTTTGTTTGTTCTGGCACTTAGGAACACCTCAGCTGACCTATAAAATTATTGGCTGACCACTAAGCAAACAGAAGAAAGCCTTCAGTGGCCACAAATAGCAAAGAATGCAGACTTTACAAAATTAGTGCACAAACGATGCTAAACAAATAACAGCAACCACAAAAAGCTGTAACAATACACTGTAGGGAGAGGGTAGATTCTGATGTCCAGAGTTGCCACATTATGATATTAAAAACCTCCAGTTCTCAAGAAAATATTACAAAGCATGCAAAGAAACAGGAAAGTATGGAATATACACAGGAAAAAAAGAAACTAATGGAAACTGTCCCTGAGGAAGCTTAGATGTTGGACTTACTCAACAAAGATTTTAAATCAACTATTTTAAATATAGTCAAATAGTTAAAGGAAACTGTGTACAAAATACCAAAGTAAATGATGACAATGATGTCTCACCAATTAAATAATAGCAATAAAAGAATAGGATTTATAATATTATAAAATGAACCAAATAGAAATTCTAGTATTAAAAAGTACAATAACTGAAATGCAAAATTGACTAGAAGAGATCAATGGCAGATATGAGCATAGGGAAAAAAGAAACAGAGAACTTTAAGATAAATCCATTGAGATTACACAACGTGAGCATCAGAAAGAAAAAGGAATGACAAAAATGAACAGAGCCTAAGAGACCTGTGAGGCACCATCAAGCATTCCAACATATGCATAGTAGGCATTCCAGAAGGAAAGGAGAGAGAAAAGAGGCAAAAATAATATTGGAAGAAATAATGATCAAAATGCCCCCAATTTTAATGAAAGACATGAATATTGATGTCCAAGAATTTAAATGAATCCCAAGTAGAAGAAACTCAAAGAGACCCACACAAGCATACATTATAATCAAACAATCAAAAGCCAAAGACAAAGAGAAATTCCTGAGAGCAGTAAGAGAGGTGAGACTAATCCTGTACAAAGTATCTTCAATAAGATCAACAGCTGATTTCTCATCAGAAACCATGGAGACTAGAAGGCAATAGGATGACATATTCAAAGTGCTGAAAGAAAAAAAAAAAACAACACGTGTTCAACCAATAATTCTACATATGTCAAAACTATCTTTCAAAAATGAAGGCGAAATTAAGATGTTCCAAGATAACCAAGAACTGAGAGAGTTTATCACTTGTAAACCTACCTGACAAGAAATACTAAAGGGAGTCTTTAAGGCTGAAAAAAGTCACTAGATGGTAATTCAAATCCATAAGAAGAAAAAAGAACATCAGTAAACTTAACTACACTACTTATGCTATGTTTACTTATAATATAAAAGTTACTATTAATGTGCTTTTGGTTTCTTACTTCTCTTTTTTCCTGTATGATTTAAAAGACAACTGCATAAAACAATAATTATATAACCATGTTATTGACACACAATATATAAAGATGCAATTTGTGACAATAACAACATAAAGGGAGCAGATCTATATAGGGGAAATTTTTTTGTGTTCTATTGAAACTAAGTTGGCATTAATTTGAAGTAGATTATCATAAATTAAGATGTTAATTGTAATCCTTAGGGCAACTGCTTAGAAAAAAACTAAAAAATATATAGTAAAAGAAACAAAAGGGGAATCAAAATGGTGCATTAGAAAATATATATCTAACACAAAAGAAAGGAGTAATGGTGGAGCAACTGAAAAACAAAAATGATATAAGACATATAGGAAACAAGTAGCAAAATGACAGAAATATGTTCTTCCTTATCAGTAATTACATTAAATGTAAATGGGTTAGGCTCTCAAAAGGCAGAGATTGCAGATTGAATGGATTAAAAAAAATCATGATCCAACTATATGTTGTCTACCAGAGACTCACTTTAGAACCAAAGATACGAATAGGTTGCAAATGAAAGAATGGAAAAAGATATTCCATGCAAACAGAAACCAAAAGAGAGTTGGCTTGGCTATGCTAATATCAGACAAAATACACCTTAAGACTAATTTGTTACAGAGAAATTGTTAGACTAAAAGAGACAGAGAAGCACATTATATAAAGAGAAAAGAGTGAAGCAATTAGGATGATATAATAATTATAAACCCATATGAAGCTTACAACAGAGCTCCAAAATATATGAAGGAAAAAGTGACAGAATTAAAGGAAGAAATAGGCAGTTTTACATTAATAGTTGGAAACTTCAACCCCACTTTCAATAATAGTTAGAACAATTATACAAAAGATAGACAAGGAAATAGAAGACTTGAACAATACTATAAACCAACTAGATCTAACAGACATGTAAAGAGCACTTCACTCAACAACAGCAGAATACACATTCTTCTCAAGTACATGTGGGACATCTTCTAGAATAAAACATATATTGGGCTACAAAACAAGTCTCAATAAGTTTAAAAAGATGTAAATCATACACAGTATCTTCTCCAATCTCAATGGAATGAAATTAGAAATCAATAACAAAAGGATATTTGGAAAATTCACAAGTATTTAGAGATCAAAACAGCACATTGTTTTTTTTTTACATTAAAAAATTGTGTCAATGTGCATAAGAAAAAATTTACCACTTTAATCCTTTATAAATGTACAGTTCAGTGGAATTAAAGTTCATTCACATTGTTGTGCAACCATCATCACTATCCATCTCCGGAGCTTTTCATCACCCTGAACTGAAATTCAGTACCTGTTAAACAATAACTCCCCACTACTTCTGTCTCTAGAATTTGACTCTTCTAGGTACTTCACATAAGTGGATTCATACAAGGTTTGTCCTTTTGTATCTGGCTTAACTGACTTAGCATAATGCCTTCAAGGTTCATCCTTATTATACCATGTATCAGAATTTCACTCAGTTT